GTCGAGCTTAGTAATAGTATCCAGGCTTGTACAGTTTGTACAACACTGAACACCAATCTATAGTTTAGTCATTTATTTGGAGTTAAAAGCAGGGCTTGAAATACTGGTTGCATGTGCACCTTAGTGCACCCAAATTTGGAGCTGTGCACCCATTTTTTTTTTTTTCTTTAGGTGCACCAGTGCACTAAAATAATTTGTAGGTTTACATACATGTACATGTATGTAGGGTTAAAGATGATACATGTAGATTAGTACAGTTCTTGATCTAAGTGTTGATAGTCTTGAAGTCTTGATCTAACAAAATCATTGCTGTAGTACTTTTTTTGTTAATTAAGATGTTCTACTTACTTATTTTATTTGGTGCACCCAAAATATTTTTTGATTGGGTGCAACAGTGCACCTATTCCCCAAAAATGAATTTTGAGCTCTATAAAAGAAAACAAAAGAAAGACAAGATGTACCTCCTAGTAACTCTGCGGCCTCTTCCCTGGTGATGAGTTTGTCAGACTCCAGGTACACCAGGAAGGCTGCCAGGAACACACACCGCTGGTTAGCAAACCGCCAGTGGTCATGGAACCTAAAACACAATGGATTATTGAATAAAGACTCAAGCTTGAACTTCCAACACTTAGATACAGAATGGGGACCTACCCCAAATTTTTGGTTGACTGTTTTAACCTTGTTCACGGAATGGACCCGTCTAGCACGTCGGCAGAACGTACTGCACCTGCGCAGAACCCCGTATTTTCGCGTTTTTCGTTGGGTTTTTGGTCAACGTTGCATCAGAATTTTGCTTGTTGCAGAGGATATTCTTTCCAACACTTGGAAACTACTGTCAAAATGCTAACCTTATATGAGCGAATACAACCTTATATGAGACATTCTGCCAAAATGCTATGTACAATACATTACCGTGTTTCGCGCATTTACGTTCTGCCGACGTGCTGACCCGTCTACTCTTGGAGCGTGATGTCAGAGACACGTGACCGTAGCAGCGGATCATATGTGCCAGATAACTTGTGGTGGTTTCTACTCTAGTGACCCAACTTGTACAATGCAGTTTAACATTATAGTAAAACTTGCATGCGTGCATCATGAGGCCTTTTATATTTTCAATGTCAATGTTAGAAAACCAATAGGACTATTCTACAACGGTTTATCACTAAGGTGTCAGACATGGAGCTAGAAAAGGTTGATATGCTCGAAAGATATTTAATATGTCCCTTGCAGGGATCCACCAAAAAAAAATCAAGATTCAAGATTCAAGATGGATTTATTGGTTCTTTGCAGTTAAAACAAAATTGTAAACCAATTTACAAAACATAAGTATATTAAAACTACAGGTTTGCAATCAATATAGGCGTACGATTAACAAACCAAATTGAATAGAAATACATGTTGCATACATTATAAATTTCCCGGACAACATTTGATACAGAAACAGTGTACTACATTTAAAACGACAACAGTCAGGGGTTCAGTCCATAGTTATTGAGGAGTTGGACCATGAACGGTATACGTATAGGCGAGTTCTTTTTTAGTTATATCTATTTGTTCTTGCTCTCGGACAGTCTAGCATCTTGATGTTTCTAGTACTACGGCCAGTTATTTGTGATCTCTGGTCAGCAGGTTTTCTAGGGTCAGATGGGAAACAAGAAACACAACATTTTTGTTCCTTAGGCCTCACCTGTAATATTGTTCTGCCGGCAGCTTGGCTGCGAGTTCCTTATACTGACGTCTGATGTTCACAAACATCTCACGACTCCTCTTACAGATGGACACCGCTGCAGGGGAGAGAAGGATAATGTTTTATCTGATGTAATCCTTCCTACCCACACTGACCTCTCAACAAGTATACATATATTAGTTGGTATTAAATCAACTCTAGAGCAAGAAACAATTACTGTATGGTACAAGTTCTGAGTACTGTTCCCCATTGAGGGTTTCTCATTCTATGTACATTACATAATGTCTTTCACCAAGGGCACTCCTGACTCAATTCTTTATTACAATGTACAATGTATAATAATTGTATAACTTATAAGATCCTTATGAGAGGCGCTGCCCAGCCAGACCCGCAGAGAGTGACTGAAGCTGTAGACCGTCTGGCAAGACGACAAGGGCCCAAGAAGAACTTACTGTATAAGATCCTTATCTTTACCCAACATTATGTCACGTTTCATAAACTCAAGGAAGAAAATGCATTAAGGAGTAATGTCTTCTTCTTCTCTTCTTCTTTAAGTTGCTTATCCTGCCAGTGGCGGATATCATTAGCAGTCTTGTAATCTATATGATAATATATATATTCTATTCCTGTGGTTTAGCAGCAATATTAATTCAATTCCTACCCGGAATTTTTTAATGACACCAACACACACTACTTTGGGGATCTTAAGAGGATATTACAGTCATCTAGAAGTCAGTGTGGCTTTATTGTTACAAAAAAAAACAATGAATACTCACTGTCTTTACATCCTGTAGGCTGGTGGACCCCCTGTAGTACAGTTAGTATCTCCCTGGCTGTCTGTTCAATCTCACGTACAGACACTCGGATTTCCTGTACAACAATATGTTATGTTCAAGAATCAAGGAGCAAAAAATTATAAACAATCAGAGATTTCAGATTTCCGGAAAATGTTTTGGGTATCTGTGAATGTAATTTAGAACTGTATTGTATGATCATAGGGAAATAAGTGATTGTGTAAGAAACAGGAGGAGCAAGAAGAAACAGATAAAAACCCCTGGTTCCGGGCCGGGGTTCAAACTCACGACCTCCCGAGCACCAGCTTCAAACTCCAACGTTCAAATCACTCGGCTAGACCCATCGGCCGGGACAGTTGGTAGTGCCTATAAACCTCCCACTATTACACTACTCCCCCCTTTTTTTTGTGGTCCAGTGGTTAGGATATGGCGCTGACTCCCCACCAAGGCCCGGGTTCGATTCCCGGTATGGGAACCACTGTAGGAAACAGGAGGAGCGAGTAGAAACAGATAAAAACCACTGGTCCCGGGCCGGAATTCAAAGCCACAACCTCCCAGGCACCAGCTTCAAAATACGACGCTTAAACCACTCAGCTGAAAGGTCTTATAGTAGTCAGTTGCGCCTATAAACACCCACAGTTACAGTTGATGATACATGTACATTAAAGAGTGAATTAATACTGATACAATTTTATGATGTAACTCGCTCTGGCATTAAAGGCTTATGTTTCTATGATTACACAGTACACTGACAGCCCCATATAACAGGGCATACTGGGTCACAACCCTGTCAATCAACTGAAACATGTGTGAAACCCACTCTCTGCCCACCCACTTCCAATCCTCACTGCTCGGGACAAGATACATACAAACTCCCTGTAAGCCAGCGTCACCCAAAACAATACTTACGTCCAACAGGTAACAAGTGTCAGCAACCTTCTTCAATAACAAATTTCATCCACAATCAACTCTTTCAAATTTTTCTGACTGTAAAATGTGAACTTCACAGACCTCTCTGATATCCTGGTCCTTGGTTAGGTACTCTTGAAACTTCGAGAAGGTTTCTTGAGTTGATGTTGACGCCATGGCGCGTTTAGTTTCGGAGATATTTCATAAACACAACCTTTTTTCTAAGCAAATTCTGAACACCTTCTCATGTGGACATACTTTGACCTTTCAACTTTCACCCAAATGTAACCCTGTCGGTGCGAATTTGCTAACATTTCATTGGCCAATTGTAAGACCTAACCATTGTTTGATTGGTTCAATTGGACCAGGACTGCTCCTGATTGGTGGGTTTACCCTTAGTTATCATCATGTCAAAAAACATGGCGGAGGAAACAAACCGACTTGTTGCTTGGTAGCTCCAAAACAAGGAATTTGCAGGAAAATTTAACGACTTTTGACATGTTTTTACGAGCGTACGACTTTTTGATAATAAGATGAATCAGTATAGAAATGTTAGCGCGTCGTCATCGACGGGACTGGGTGGAAAACCTAAGGTAAGTTAACGTTAGTTTGCGAGGCGAGGGTAGGGGAGGGGGGTAGTTTAGGAAAGAAAATTTGCTGGTTTGGAAATCGGAACATAAGAATTATCAACGTTAGGAGGCAAGCAACGTAACGTTAATCATAATATGCATGTAATGTTAAATTTGGGAAAAGCTACAAGTTGACAAACTTTTCCATGTCTATAAATTCAAGAAAAAGTACTATTTAAATTACAAGCATGCATGTAACTGTTATAGATTTATTCATCCAAGGACCTTGATTCATCATACAACTTTTACAAGATTTACGTTATAATATTTCTTCAGGGTTTGGTTTATATGTAAGGGATAAATTATGTTAACCGCTAGGGTCAGCCTGTAATTTCTTAAATAATTCTTATTGACAAACTGAGTGGGAAAATTATTATTAATACTGACTATTAATAGGGTGAAAAATTATTCTTAACAGGGTGAAAAGTTAATTTCTGGTTTGTCCGTACTAGAAGCCTCTTCCAGTCTTCATTATATATTTGTTAAACTGATAATCATATACACCGTGGCTATTGACACACCCGATGTGAATATAAGGGGAAAAAAATTCCTAAATTCCTATATCCACACTGGAATACTAAGCCTCTGTGGCAGGCCCAAAACATGGGTTTTGGTGTGTTTGGGGCTTCAGGGGCTTCAAGTTTAAAGTTTAAACTTAGTGAATGTTGAAAAGGCCCAAAATCAGATAACAACACAGAATGCCAGCTAATCAGAGCACCCGACTGGGATTTTTCGCACCAAAGCCAACATGGCTGCCGCGCCATTCCAGTTGAAGTTAGGGGACGAAATTTCACCAAGGACAGAATTCAAGGCAGCTCTGGATCGGAGGTGCTCATCAGTAAGGTGGCAAGCAAAATGGTTGAAACTGAAAACCTTAGTTGACAGGAAACACTGAAAAGTTCCTAAGAGAACATGTGTACAGAGAGGCAAAGTTTGGGGGAACCACTGAAACAAGAGGTGAGTACTAGTAGTACAGTCTGACCTTAGGTTCCTGGGACACCAGGAATCAAATCTACACCAAACCCGGGCAGCAGTTAGCTAAGAATGCAATGTGCTAACCCGCTAGGCCAAAAGGTTCAGACCCATAATAGACTGCGTCAGTTAGTGGTGCTTGAACCCCACTGTTACAATTGGTTACAGACTATAGAATACCGGTAGCATTACTGTAGTTTGAATCTGTGCGAGAGGATATGTGTTGTAATGCATATGGCATTTTAGAATGAAACAGACACTCTTGCCATGTCTCCCCTCAGAGTTCCCCTGCGGTCAGCTCCACCACCCTGGCTGCCGTGGCCTTCCAGGACCACATCATGCGCAACCTGTCCCTGTCTGACCCTCTCAGGACCAGACCACGCCTGCCGGTCAAGACTCACCACCACAGACCCAGACACATCCGGCCTGTAGTGGACACCAGGAGGAGGAGACCCAGCTCTGACACTAAGACCAAAAAAGAAGAGATAGAAGAGAAGGAATATGTGCTGGACCCCAAACCTCAGCCATTATCACTGGGTAATTCTATTTATTTAGTTAGTTCATCTTATAAGCACCTGGGTGGCCTCTTCAACAGTAAATTGTTGATTTCCAAGAGAGCCCAGGGACACAAAAACATAAAGCAATTTGTATAAAAGTAAATTATACAATCAAGTAACATAACTGAGAAAAATTAAGAGAGAACAGAGATCAAATTTAACTGAAATGATGTAGCTTAGTAGTCTGTCTTGTGTTATAAGTATGAAGAATTGAAGATGATAATTTAACTTGTCGCTTCTCGGATCGCCCTGTCAATTTTTTTGTGATTTGCAAAAAGAAAAATTGGGGGGGGGGGGTTCTAATTTCTAAAATTAACTGTAAAATCCTCAATGAAAGACATATTTTGGCCCTAATGGTTGATTAAAGTCCTTTTCTTCCAAGTTCTCAAGTTCTTCAATGTAACAATGCAATTTTGTTTCATTAAAAGTTCAAAATCTATGGTTTAGATTTATTTATTAACCAGCCTGTTATGTTGACTTCATGGCTCATATTGTAACATTTCCGGCTAACATGGGGTGCCTTGGCCTGTTGTTTTTTTTCGCCCTGTCGCTCCTGATTTTTGTCTGAAAAAATCCGAGAAGCAACAAATTATATTGGTGTGGCCTTATGAGCCGTTTCATTTCCTTTTCTTTAGCCCAGAAGCTGGGTCTTGTGGAGGCTCCTGAGCAGCCCCTGACAGAGGAGGAGTGGCAAAGTGTGAAACACCGCGCCTGTCACCGGGACGACCACACCCAGCCCTGCGTCATCTGTAAGGAAGACTTCGGCACACAAGAACAGGTAATTAGACAGTAATGTCTCGCAGGGCTCAAAATTCATTTTTAGGAATAGGTGAGCCAGGGGTTTTTCTAGAAAAATTTAGCATTAGTTTTTCAGATCGCAGGCGGGGGGTGTTTTTATGAGAGTAACACAGTTTGCAATGCTAGAATGCATTGTTGTGTTGCTTTTACATCTTAACTGGAAAAAGATCATTTTGAGAAAGACTAGATGGTGGGTACAAAATGTAAGTAGCCACTAAGTATAGGGTTCAATCTGAGCATTGATATGAGGGAGCTTGCTGGTTACCTGCTCCCTTATCCCCCTTTATTGGAAAAAAACCCTGTGTGAGCCGTATAAAGTAAAATAAGTGGAATGTTAGAAAAATCTTAAATTAAATATGTTTCATTTATAAAGAAAAGTACTACAACAATGATTCTATTTTTTTTTACATTCAGACGTCAAGAAGATGCTGTATACTACTAGAACATATATACATTTAACATCGTAACATGCAACATATGGAAATAGTTAGGTGCGCCTACAGAAAAAAATTGGGTGCACAGCTCCAAATTTGGGTGCATGAAAGTGTACTTGCACCCAGTATTTCAATAAATACCATTTCTGTAGTCTAAGTGTTGGAAGTTAAAGGTCAGTCTTTATTTCATAAAGATTCATCATTTCTTTTGTTGTTTTTGTAGGTCCTCCTGTCCTGCTCCCATGTGTTCCACAAGGCTTGTCTCCAGGCTTTTGAGCGCTTCAGCGGTAAGAAGACGTGTCCACTGTGCCGGCGCGACCAGTACCAGACTAGAGTCATCCACGAGGGCGCAAAACAACATCGGGTCAAGTGTGCCACTAGGTTGGTGTTGATGCAGTCAGCATGCAAAATACCTGGTTGCCCAGTTGCCCCGGGCAACCAAATTTTACTTGGAGCTAACCTATTTTGAACCTAGGTAGCCCAGTGTGCTACCTGAATTTTAAGAATGCCCCCCACGAAATCATGCCCACTTGGCTTGCCATGTATCTGGCAGATGCTTTTTAATTTTAGGTATTAAGGCCATGTTGATTTGATTATATGGGTGACATCCTCCGGGAACCCCAAAATTGATGCGCGCGTGCAAATAAAAAAAAGTTTTGCAAAAAAAAAAGTTGTTTTCATTATGAAATCTAAGTGGTCATGAGGGTTGAGCAAATTGGACAAAATATGGTTTGGCGAATAATCTACTCTTCGAATTCATTTCTTTACAATTTCGTCTTTTTTCGTTTGATTTTGGCATTCTATGACGTTGGTATGGTTTTTTTGTAACTTACGGTATATTTTTGCTCATTTTGCAACTGTTTTGTACGATTTACAGTATGGTTGAAACCTTTTTTTTTTGAAAAGGCTGAAAATTCATGCGCGCGCGGATGTTATCCATATAATCAAATCAACATGGCCTAATGGCTATTACTAGTATTACTATTAGTTAACTAAAGGCTGTTAGAAATATTGTCAAAGGCTTTAAATATGTATGTAGCAACATTATTTAATTTGAGGAAAGTAGTAACTTATACATGTAGGTGGGGCAACCTAAAATTCTGATGGACAACCTAATTTTTGCCTTAGGTTGCCCACTGGTTCAAAAAAGTATTTTGTACACTGCCATATAGATATAGCTAGATGAATTATGACACTTTTCCCACCCAGAATCCAGGCCTGCTGGAGAGGTTATGTGGTGAGATGTTGGTACAGAAAACTTCGACAGACTGTCCCACCGAAGGACCCCAAACTCAGACAGAAGTTTTATGAAGAAAAGGTAAGGTCTAAATACAGAATCACAGATGTTGCACAACTCTGTAGAAAAATGATTATTTAAAAGAACTAATTCAACTGAAAGGTTATCTTCAGCTGCAATTATTACAATGTGCGAGTATAGTGTATAATTCCAGAAAGATGCAAAATGACATGCATGATACACAATTTAAACTTTAAGTCTACTATGTTATACATAAAGTTTGTTGCACAGCAATAACACAGGTTAAAAGTATGTCATATATGTTGTTTACTAGGACACTAATCTACCTTACAAAGACTAGGCAGGGCTCGAAATTCATTTTTGGGAATAGGTGCACTGGTGCACCCAACCTAAAAAATTAGGTGCACAAAAAATTTTCTTGGTGCACCATATAAAATAAAAACCTAATTACAGATCTTGACTGCTCCTCTTCTGAGCTTGAATCTGAAGTGGAAGCTAACTTCAAAATCATAAACAAACAATTTACTATATGAAAAACAAAATTTCTGGTGAGTCAAATTTTGAGTTGGAGAAACGTTTAAGTTTTTCATAATGTAATTTACCAACTCAGATGAACTTTCATGCTGAAACAATTTACTATTTTTCTGAAACTTAGAGGACAAGACTATCCTGAATACTATCACACATTTCATATTGTACAAAATACCTACAAAAATATTTGTGTGCGCTGGTGCCCTCACAGAGAAAAATTGAGTGCACAGCTCCAATTTTGGATGCACTAAGGTGCACATGCACCCAGTATTTTGAGCCCTGCTATGTAGTGTAGGATTTGCATTGTGTCAACCTTTATGTTTTTCTAAGATATTGACTACTCTTAGGCCACACCAATTTAATTTGTTGTTTGTCGGATTCACCCTGTCCATCTTTTTTTCTGATTTGCAGCAAAAAAAAAAAATTAGGTTCTAAATCAACTGCAAAATGCTAGTTTTTTTAATGTAACAATGCAATTTTGTTTCATTCAAAGTTCAAAATCTATTGTTTTAATGATAGACTAGCCTGGTATGTTGACTTCATGGCTCATATCGTAACATTTCCGGCTATCATGGGGTGCCTTGTCCTGCTTTAAATTTTTTTTTTATTTCGTCCTGTCGCTTCACATTTTTTCCAAAAAAATCGGAGAAACAACAATTTAAATTGGTGTGGCCTTATTTGTAATCGAAAAAAATTGTTGTCCTCTCAGTTTCAGTCCATCACAGATCGGATCGTCCAGTCCTGTGCGTACAACATCGATGACTTCCTGTCCGAGATTGACCGCTCCGTCCAGGCCAGTCGGGACGTCTTCAGGTTCTTTGACGAGACGTCGTGGAAACCGTTAAGTGAAGAGGAGTGGGAGAGGATACAGCTCAGGGTAGGGCTTAGAAATACCCATCTGCAGTCTGCATTTTACAGAGACTTTTTAGCGTGCAAAATACCTGGTTGCTTATTTTATTAGTTGCCCTGGGCAACCAAATTTTACTTGGGGCAACCTATTTTTGCTACCTGAATTTTAAGAAGCCCCCCCCCCCCCCAAACCATGCCCACTTGGCTTTCACCACTGTATCTGGCAGATTCTTTTTAATTTTAGGTATTAATGGCTATTGCTAGTATCAATTAACTGTTGAAAAGGCTGTTAGAAATATTGTTGAAGACTTATGTATGTAACATTACTTAATTTGAGGAAAGTAGTAACTTAAAGGTGGGGCAACCTAAAATTCTGATGGGCAACCTAATTTTTGCCGTAGGTTGCCCACTGGGAAACTGGGCAACCTGGCAGTTGTATTTCCTCAGGTAATCAGGCAAATTGTGCAAAGTAACTTTGAGGCATGGTACTGAGCAGTACTATTTTTCTACTCCAGGCTGTTGAGAGGGGTGACACAGACTGTCCTATCTGCATCATGCCACTAACCTCTGAAGGTCATGGGTCAAACGATGGACCAATCACATCACAAGGTCAAACAGCAAGCAGCAAAGCAACTGCTGCCTCAACTACCTCACGGGGTCAAAGGGCAAATGTCAAAGTGCAGTAGCCAGGGGTCAAAGGGTCATGTACATAAGTCAAAGGTTAGGTCAGGAGCAAAGGCTGATCTAGAGAAGTCAAAGGTTAAAGGGTCTGCACCAGAGGGTGATGTACAGAGGTCAAAGGTTATAGGGTCAGCACCAGAGGATGATGGTCAGAGGTCAAAGGTTATGAGGTCAGGAGCAACAGTTGATGTGCAGAGAAGACCCACAGTGCTCCTGTCCTGCTCCCATGTTTTCCACAGAACTTGTCTGGAAGCATTTGAAGAGTTTGCTGTAGGAGAGGGGAAGTTTGTGTGCCCTGTGTGCAGGTCCAGCTACCAGAAGAGAATAACATAACAGGCCTCAAAATACCCTTTTTATGCATACCTACAAATTTACCTGAACCATTCAGATCATTTTGAGACGTATGGGTCGTACTGAAAACTGTTTAGAAATGATTGTCACGATTTCTTTTATACTTCAAACATGATCATTGCTTCATTTAATGCAGCAAACGAAAATCAACGTAACTTTATGCACCTATACATGCAGATAAACCCAGTACATTGACTGGTGCAGATAGACATCAGAAATACCTGCACAGCTCCAAGTTTACCACACTAAGGTGCACATGCAATCAGTACTAGTACCAAATCTGCCATGATAACAGGAATTATATATAAACCTCTCTTTTTAAATACATGTCTAAATATTGTCATCACATTTGCTTAAGCTGGTTATCAATAGCTATGACCATCTGTAATGTTAAGTTTTTCATTAAAAAATTGCAACGGAATTGTGACTATAATTCCTTGTGTTCGCTTTTATTGCAAATGATTTTATCTCACTTACTGAATCAAAAGTGAAGCATGATGACATAGAGCATGGAATTAAAAGTTCCAACATGTACCTCCGTGCATTTGCCCCTGCATTAGAAAATACTTGCACCCCCAAAGTAGCAGTGGAACCTTCCTTTGGAAGGTTGTCTCTGCCAACTAGACCGATGGATCTGTCACATTTAGAAGTTCAACCAATGACAGAAGGGCAATTGGCAGTTCGACCAATAAGACAGTTTTAACGGAGGTGGACGGGGCTTCAGGATCGGCCCTAAACGTGTGTGTATTTATAAAAAAAAGCATACCCCCTTGTCCTTTTACACAGTTGCTATTTGACCCCTGCCGTCGTTTCATGACGCTTAGCTGAACCACAGGTCAACCAAAAACCGGTTGAGTGAGTCCACGTAACTGTATCTAGTGACGGATTTTTGAGTGCCAAGCCACGGGGCTACTGAAACTCAGGTAGTACGATCTATTATTTTTTACGTCTGTATGTCTGACAGGCAGTCATAGGTTTAACTACAATTTTGGGGGCCACCAATAATCGTGGTATAGCACTTAGAATCATTTCGAGCTATCGTTTTGACACAAAACTGCACGTTGACGTAAACTTGTATTTATGTATGTTAGCCTCAAGACCTTCCTTACGTTTGCAAAGGCTCATGCTTATACATGTGTGTGCCGATTATTTTCATTTATGTCAAAGTTCGGTTGCTGCTCACAAGCAGATATCTCATTAAAAGACAAATGTACAAAAAATGTTTGTCGGTGTCTTTCACGGAGGTAATTTTGGCTCCGTCATATTCCCAGAGCTACGAAAGAGGGCCTGCATGCCCTTTTTCGTAAGGCGTAATCAGGCCTTTTAGGCTTCGTAATTCATAGGCAGCCTAAAAAAAAGCAACGTAATTCGTAATGGTACATTAGCTGCAAATCGTAAAGTCGTAATCAGCTATGAGACTTTAACGTAATTCGTAATCGGCAGCGAAAATGTTGCGTAATTCGTAATCACTATACACCCCCCC